GTCGGCAGAGGACACGAGGGGGTTAGGGACTCACCGTTGAGAGTGATCTTTGCGTTGGGCGCGTTTTTTATGGCCATCGCGATGAGGGCGATGTACGAGTAGGGCGGCTTGGCGGCGCTCAGACTCACACCCAGACCGGGACTCGGGCTTGGGCTCCCCGACGGGCTGGCGATTGGCGCAGGAGGCGACGCCGCGTAGATCAACGGCCCAGCGACAACGGGCTCGGCCGACGGGAGGAGGCCGGCGCGGAAATCGGCCGACACGAGTCCGACGAGGTCGGGGGCTGGCTTGACCGGCGAGAAGACATTTACATCCGTCCAGACGACCGGCAACGGCGAAGACGAGGCCGAAAACGTCGCCGTCGCCGTCGCCGTTGCTGATGTCGCCATCGCCACCGGTGGTGCTAGTGCTGGTGGTGGTGGTGGTGGTGGCGACGGCGGTGGTGCCGGCATGGCAACTGGATGATTGGGAGCACCGAGAGTGGAGGAGACGACAGACGTGTTGTCGTGCCTCGGCGTGACGTGTCCGCGGAGGGAGGAGAGCAAAAGAGTGTAGTATTGGGCGAGAGCGTCGAGTTGCGTCATCGGCGATTGCGTCTGCGGCAGAAAGGGACAACTGACCGGCAATTGACCGACCGCCGCGTAGTCCAGACTGGCGTCGAGGATGGGAACAGTGGACGAAGCGGTCGTCATGACGGGGCTGTGCAGGTGTGAGGTTGTGCGACTGTTGGGTGTAATTGGTTGTCACGGCAGGCTGATGAGTTGGCCAGAAATGGTGACTATGCGCAGTTGTATGACAGTGCCGCGTTTTGATTGGTCGACTGGCCAACTCGCCTCAATCTGATTGGTTCGCAATTTGGGCTTGGCGAGCGCCGCTGGCAGAGTCAAATGAACACAGCGGACCAATCAAAAGCCGACTTGGTTGGATCATGCAATAGGCACCAACAGGCATGTCAACAGTGTGCAATTGAGCCTATCCGAGCGCCTGTCAACGTCATGGAGGGGTGGGACAGGCCGGTCCAATTGAGTCTGGCCAAGCATTCTGACAAATCAAATCTTCCTATTCCACGATTTGATCGCTTTGTCAACTTGCCAACAGACAAGACGTCTCCTCGTGGGCGGGTGGAGGCGAAAAAAGGTTGTTGAAAATAAACAAATCATTAAGTGTATGTGTGCATGTGCCTGTGCGTGTGTGTGTGTGTGTGTGTGTTTTAATCGGGCCAGACAAGAGTGCCAGTACAGACAGTTGATTTGATTGGCAAATGCGTCAATCGTGTTTGCGGATGGAGGTTGATGATTGGTCGTAGAATGTGTCAGCTTGTAAGGCTGCCAGACGGACTGGGAGAGAATGCATGTCAACTTGCATGTGGGAAAAGGGATGAATAAAAGAGACGGATGGGAGAATGTGGAAGAAATGCAAGAAAAGCAGTCTCTTCACGACTGGCCTCATTGACTGGTGAATGGAATGGAATGGAATGGATTGCAAAATGTGTAATTGGCGAAACTGGAAAAAGATTGAAGCCATAGTTGAACTCTAAAATGTGCAATCACATGACAGTTGAAAGATCGGCGTTATAAGAAGAAATGGGTGGAAAACTGTGCCGGGAAAGAAAGGGGAGGATTGCACATTTGAGTAAGCGGGAAGAGGTGACAAAGAGCCAAAATTGCCATACAGTCGTAATAAAACTGAGAAGAAATGCGAAAAATGCAAATATGGCAGATAAAAAAAGGAAAGAAAATAAGATGACTTGAATATTGAATATCAAATGTTAAATGTAAAGAGAAAAACGCAGATAAAGAATAGAATTCAGCTCAGCTGAGATGATGTGAAAAGAAAAACAGACAGACAATTTGTATATATTCAACCTATTTCGTTTATGGTAGTCAAAAGTGACTAGCCTTTCATAGAAGAAAGTCGACCAAACTTGCATACAGCCAGACAGACAGACAGACACATGAGGCGCTGCACTGTCATGGTTCGAGTCCTGTTTGACGTGGAGATGAGACCGACGCGAGGCCGAGATTGCGGTCCAGTTGAGACGAGATGAGAAGAGTTTTCGGGAAATGGATTGTGGGAAAGTCAACTGCCATTCTGAACACAACTCAAAAATAGCATTATTCAATTGCTTTAATAAATTATTATTTTTATCGTTAAAATATTATATTGTTAGGTATGCAGAGCAAGATGGTGTGGCCTTTTGTGTGGTCGCAGTCTCCTTTCGTTATTTTAACAAGTTGTTTCACCTCGTTTTCGCAACATGGTCCTGTTGGTAGGAAGACTAATTGGAAGGCACCTAGTCCGGGCTCCATTGTGTGCATGATCATTTCCAAAGTTGAACCGTGGACGTGGTACATTCCCAAACGTTTCGCCGGCA